AAAACGTACCCAACAAACAGCACAAAATATCTTAATCCCACACCTTTCTCAATAAGCCATAAACCAACAATAATTAGTACGAAAAGAACAGTAATACCTCTAGTTAACCAATTCTTGGCCCAAAATAAGAGGATAATTAGTAATACACCAAGAACGACTGATGCAGCCTTCGACGCAACAACATTAAACCCGCAAAATATTAGTATCGCTCCTATAAATGATGATCCAAGATAACCTAAATTTATAATAAATTAACTGTTATTATTATTATATATATTAAAATATATATATATATATATATTTCAAAAAAAATACAAAATCAATATAAATATATCAGATGTGATATATTTACCAGCTGGCAAAGTACAACATTGAATTCCGCCTCGCTGATACAATTACGAAATTAGGTTAAATGATTAATTAGATTACAAAGATGATGAAATGATAAAGAGTAGATTGACATATACCATTTGAGTAACGCCACCTTCGTCAGGATCAATCTTAATCCCTTCGATCTTTGCCCCAGTACAGCATCCAGCAGCAGCATGCGACCATTCATGTAAACCAACTGTCAATAACTACTTAAACGAATAATACATAAATTGAGTCATTCACTTTTAATTCAAGGAAAATTACACATATGAAAAATTACCTTGAAAGGATATAAAATAATATTTAAGAACGGCATTCTCCAAAGAATTAATATCACAAGTATGTAAACACCAATAATTATTAAAGTTATAGTTTCATCTTTTGATGGAGTTATGCGATTTTTTACGTCTTGACCTATATCTCGCTCAACAAAAGCACGTTCGTCAAATATCGCCGGCATTCTTCTAATAAATTATATTCTAATAATTATTCTAATCAATTTAATTGTAGTTTTTCTTTCCTTACTCGCGAGAAAATAACAAAAGGGATAAAATAAATAATATTAAGAGAAATTCCTGTAATGGCGAAGTTCGTTATCCGTTCTAATTATTGTTGGTTTATGGCTTATTGAGAAAGGTGTGGGATTAAGATATTTTGTGCTGTTTGTTGGGTACGTTTT